GCGGACATTTCCTTGCCTTAAAACCCTCTCAGAAATTAGAGGAGGCCTGTGCCCAGCAGTGGGACGTATATAGGCTGTAACTTTACTTTTTTTTTACTTTTATAAATATGTTATTTTACCGACGAAAATTTTAAAGAAAAATAAAAAATAAGCAACCGACAACCTCCTCGGTCCCTAGGTGACTTGCGAGATGTCAGTGTAACAAAACAAAACGGCCCAGAAAAACAGACTTTCCAACTGATAGCTAAATCAGCACGCAACAATTTCATTGGTGCCAGTGGGGATCGAACCCGGGTTGCTCCCGTACTGTGATACCTATAACGAGCGCTAACCATGTGAGCTACCACGGCTCTCAACGACATCGTTCCGTTCGTGTACAGCGCTGAAGATAGCAGAGTAAAAAATTAGAGATTGTGGTGTTTGAAATTTGTCATCTGTGAGAGTGAATTTTATCTGTGTACTCTGTAACAAATAACTATATAGAAAAAAATCTGAAAATTATATTTCGCCATTTTTGTTTGAGTACTTTTATACGTTATTTCTAATGTTATTTTACATCAAATTAATTGTGAAAATATTTTCTTTAGGAAATATGTTTCATTACGACGATTCAAAAACGTTTTCATATAATAATTTACCTCGAAATTCACTATACGCGATTATCGTTTATTGATATTATGTTGTTTAAAAAGTATTCCTATCAGCTTTGTGTTAAATGGATGCTAAATATAAAAGAATGCTTCAATATTGATAGCAATTTATAAACTAAATATCTGTTGAGATGTGTCTAGAAATTATTAATACTCATTTTTATTTATTTATTAAAATAATAAATAAATAAAAATAAGTAAGTATACATTTAGTTGTAGTAGGTACTGCTGATTTCTCAGCAAGCGTCGAGCGGCACGGAATAGGGTGGTATGTATATGTGCATCGTGTTCGTGTAACTTCGTTTTTGTTCTAACGGTTCGGAACGCCGTACGAACAAGACGTGCGTTCTAACTGCTCTTCACTGATACTATCTCTGTCGGGCACGATGCCAGGTGAGACAACGTGCTTTTTGGCCGCGCCCACCAATGAGTTCGAGCCCGCGACTTGTGCCACCTTAAGTGGCCATACTTGAATAAAAACTCACAAATAAATATCAAAACTACCTAAAAAGTTATAAGAGAAAACGGTTCGGAACGCCGTACGAACAAGACGTGCGTTCTAACTGCTCTTCACTGATACTATCTCTGTCGGGCACGATGCCAGGTGAGACAACGTGCTTTTTGGCCGCGCCCACCAATGAGTTCGAGCCCGCGACTTGTGCCACCTTAAGTGGCCATACTTGAATAAAAACTCACAAATAAATATCAAAACTACCTAAAAAGTTATAAGAGAAAAATACTTTTTTACTGATGTGAGGCGCGCGTCAGCTCGAGCAGCTTGTAGGCAGCCGCGCAGCGTAGGTATACTTTCATGCCTAAAGCGCGGAGTGAGACAGGCCTACTACTACTACTATAAATAGTTAAAACTACTCTATAACTTACACTCATCCGGCCAAAGGATACACATTTAACACAGCACTAGATTAAGCAAAAAAGTGAAAATGCAAAAAAAAATTTTACTTCTTTCTTCTCTTTTCTAACTTTTATATTTCTTCGACGTTCGATTTTTATGCATCAAGATTCCGTAGCCATGCCATGGAAAGTTTTATGTTTAAGAAAATCTGTATATCTTGCAGACCATTGAATAAATTATTTTTCTGAATAAGCTTTTATAAGACTTAAATTTTTTCGTATTATAATTTTTTATATTACTCTTTAATCAACTAAACGGATTTGATTTGACCAGTAGGTAATTAACATGAAATTGTTATGTTTAGTCAGCTATTTATTTGCAGGAATAGTTGTATTTCACTACTTACATACTTAGAAATTCGGGTAATATTTTCACGGGCAAAGCTATATGTATATGTATATACAACAAGTAACATAATTAACGCACTTTGAGAAAGTAGTTTGTTCAGAATCGTTTACTGAATCGATTCCTATCATTTTTAATATGGGTAATTTTTTATCCCAAAAATAATTAAAACTACGTAAATTACAGTCACACTAAATCTGTACAGTCAAAACAAACTGAAATGGACCGTAACTTAAGGCAATAAGACTTTTAAGAGTACAGTTTTATTTGTATTATTACTAATTCTGTCATTCAATAAAAATAAAGAAAAATGAACTTTATTTCAATAACGTTAAAGTCTTTGCGTTCGTGGATTTGTACTGTGACCAACATTCTTCCGGAATTAGTATAACTAATTTGATAAATAATCAGTGCATAAAAATGTTTAACTAAAAATTCAGTGTTATGATTATAACATAATATACTAATTGGGGTGTCTGAGGGTGTGCGTTAATTACGTTACATATTGTGTATAAATAGCTTTGAAACACTTAGAAACTATTGAAAACTAAAACCAAACAATAAGTTTACTTAGATATTTAATTCACTTGATATACGATTATAAGTTGAGAATGTCACATGTCACACAGATTCAAATGAGAAACGGAAATACTCGCTTTTTTATTACTTTCACTACTTAATCAGTTGTTTTTTTAATTTAAAAAAATTACAACCAAATTATAATAAAAATCGAGCAATAATCCCTTTCTCATTTAAAATGAGAGAATTGTTGATTAAAATTCATAAATGTACAGCTAACTTCACTTAAAATATTACAAAAATACAGGGACTCCAACACGATGGGGAAATTATATTATATTTACAGCTGACATTTATGAAATTTGTGAACACATAACAATAGTCACGAGAAAATTAATTCGCAGCATTGTAAACTGCGTTAAAAGACCTGATCAATCACATTACCTTATTAACAACAATCACTTCTACTTTTAATACTTTCAATTGAATTAGATATTACAAAGCACAAGGGTATTGATCAGATCTCCTTCAAGAAACATAATAAGCAGTTAACATTACAATGTAAACCTTATCTACCACAGTAACAGTTTAACCACATTTTTATTTTATATAAAATTAACCATGACAATATAATACATACCTTAGCAATTTTACTTTAAGGCCGGTCACATACATTCGGAATTCCGTTTCAGAATTCAAAACATATGTTTATAGGTCGGCCACATACATTCGGAATCCCGTTTTACCCGCAAAATTTCGAACGAAAAACTACTGTATGTGTGTGACGGGTCCTTGATTTTACATAGTAGACTTGCTGCGTTCGGAATTCCGAAAAACTAAATTCCGAAACGGAATTCCATATATATGTAGCGCGTTTAAGACAATAGAACAGATGTCAGGAAATAATATCGAATATTTTATTTAATGACATATCCTGTGGCTAACATAGCTCTACAGGATTTGTGGACATAATTTACAGTTTTTGGGCATATTTCCATAGAAATAATCCGTTTGACGAACAAATAGCAGGAAGCGAATTAAGTGTGGGGTTTAAAAGCTTAACTTGGTTGTTACATTGTCCTTCAATTTGAGTTTAAAATGGAGTTAAAACGTTTATTTTATTTTAAATGTTACCAGTAAATTGGTGTCATTCTATTTAAAATTACTATAAAAACACACGGTATACAAATCACATAAAGGTCATTGCTCACTTATCAACATGGCACTCTCCCATACAATGGTGGTATTTCTTACATGGGGTGACCATACATAAAATAAGCTCGCTTATCAACTTTCGATCGTTATAATACCGAATTGGATCACTTAACTCTGTCTAAAGCTAAAGCTATCCTAAGGTTGTTCAAAAAGAAAGTGGACCACTTGACCATTAGAAGTTTGCTCGCTTACTATGCAATAGAAAGTTTGCACGATGTTAACGGGTCAGTCAGAGGGGATCGGGTGTAGAGTCGAACACCAGTCCTCATTTACTTGCTCCCTATTCTCTTTAGATTTTTCGTAAGAGAAGCTCCACCAAAAGGCAGGCGGCAAGGGCAACATTGCATGCTGCTGTATCCAAACTTAGTATGTTTCCATACAAGGCACCGGATCAATTGTAAGTTATTTACAAAGGGATAGTGATGAGCGAGTGTTAAACTCTTAAGTGTTTAATTTGTAACTTTTTCAGAAAGGAGCAGAAAAATCTAATCATAAGAACATCAAGGTTGCTTTATTTTAAATAGGTTTTTGTAAAATAGGACATTACGTAACATGAGTACCAATAGCTAGGCTCTCAGACTAAAATTTTGGTAGAAATAATAATCGTTGCTAATTTAATAGCTAGACGGCGTCTAACTCGCATAATAATACGTGACATAAAACTCTGGGCGTAATGCGATACAAAGCAAGTCAATCACCAGTTAAGATTAGTGAGTGATGACCTTAGTATACATTTATTTGTTAAGCTATTTCTAAAGTGCTATTTGTTTAGTTGCATTAACTGCTACGATTATTTTATAGATCTAGTTAATACAGTAGCAACTCACTAAAGTGACAAACTTGTTTTAGCCTTTACAACTAATCTTTTTTAGTTGTATCTTTGTAAGGTTGTATATATAATATTTATCTTTCACAATTACTCTGATTTATACATCATGCTTTATACTGAGTAACATAACATAGTCTAGAAAAATTAATTAAATATTCTGAGAAATTTGTATTAATTTAGTTTGATTTAAACATTATATTTTTGCCACATATTACAATGCAATTAACAATTAAATTATAAAATTAATGCTTCATGATTCGTGGAAATATGCCATAATTCTGCTTAGCAATTTACATGATTGATTTTGACATAGGTATCATGTTATTATATTCTCTGCACATATTTTTAAAAGTAAAAAGGAGAACTAAACTTAGCAAGAATTATATACAGCAGGTAACACAAATTAAATTCTAGGAATCATACTTTTCAGTCTGTTCAACTGCGATACAATAAGAATAATATTATTGTATAATATCCAAACAACTCGATCTCTAATACAGGAAAACTCTAATTAGAAAAACTGCCATTTTTACGACTCAGGATCCGTCGATGAACATGTTGCAGCTTTGCTTGTCTGAAAAAAAAAAAAAGATTTTTTAAGTTTTTCAACTCAGTTAAGATCCTAAAGTATAACTTGCTTCGAGAATAACGATGTCAAATTCTTGTATAATAAATCAATAGCGGTGGTGCATATTACATGTTTTCGTTTATTTAGTTAATAATTGTTTACAACAGCTCCGTTTGCAAATTTATTACATCACATGTAAATTCAATTCTTGATTATAGCATACCTACACTGAACTATCAAAACCCAAGAATGTAATATTCAAAAAAGCAGTAATAACTCCTGCATTTATTCCTTTTGTTAGATCTTGTGCCTACATTACTGAACAGCCTACCCTGAAGCAGGAAACCAATTGGAGGAAACATTAAGGGGAAAACATACTTCTAGAACATCATGTCTTACACTTTTAAAATACTTTAGTGCGAAACCTGTCTGATGAATCGCTTATGTGCAGTATAATCCAAGTTTTATACACAGGATTGTAAATACTTAGCTTTATACTTATCTACCCTTACCTAATATTTTTGTATATCTACTATATATTATCTAGATTACTATATACTATATAGATACATATATTATACTAGTAATTCCAAGTAATGGACGATGAATGCTGGTGTACGGACAACCGCATTCTGGTTTTATTACACAGTAACAAAAACATTTAATGTAATTAGAAATGTATATTTCTTTCGCCATCCATCCATTCATAACAGCTTATAAAAATCCACTGCTGAACATAGGCCTCCCCCATAGATTGCCTTGTAGAGGGAGATTTAGAACTTTGGCAGTCGGCACGCTCGCACTGTAGTTTTTATTATTTTAAACTGTTATCAGATGTTCATCTCTTGATTCAGTTTCCTTTTATTGCCTTTAGATACTTCTTTATAAATAATAATAATGTCATTGGTGCCAGCTAGGATGAACCAGATTTGCTTGTGTACTGTGAAATTTATAGCAAGCGCTAACCATCTTATCTACAATGGCTGAAATTGATGTATACAATTTTAAGTACAGATTTATCATGTGCTCGGCAGTGAAGAAAAATATCGTGAAGAAACCTGTATATTTAATAAATCAGTTCGCCAACACGCATTGGGCAGCGCAGCGAACACTTCATTGCCCTAAAACCCTCTCAAAAACGAGAGGAGGCCCTTGCCCAGCAGTGGGACCTATATAGACTGTAACTTTAACTTTTAATTTTAAATAATAATAATAAGATTAAGATAAAACATGTCCTCACCTCGCAACTGTCATAGAAATACATAGCCGTTTCGCTGTCCGGAAAATTGATGGTTACAGTTTTTTTCACAGAATCATAGTCCACGCCCGACCATGAACATGAGTCACCAGTAATCTAGAATATAAGTTAAAAATTATTAGCTCAAGCAAAATTTCGACTTCTAATAGGCGTATAATAGCAGCACCACAATGTTAGTTACTGATCAGAAGTGTTAAAATTTTAGCAAAGACAAAATTTGCACAACACCTACGACTTGACTTACGTTTTAAAATTTCTAGATTTACAGGGTTATCGATATATAGGGTGTAATAACCGGCCAAATTTGCAAGAAGGTTCAATAAGAATTATAGAAAAATTAATACAAAAAATAATAAAAAATCTTTAAGATTCTGTCGATTTTATCTTTTAAATTCAAAATGCGTAATATATTATTTTAACAGATTTTACTGCGCACGCACACATTCTTAAGAGTCGATCAATAGGCAGAAAACTTTGTTGCCCACAAATCACATTCAATTTAGGATACTTTCGTAGCCTTATTTACTCGTTTTTCTAAAATCTGCAATAACGGTATATCATTATTTATTATATATTTGTACTTAAGTTTAAAATTTGGGTACTCTTTGAAAAATAACCTGAATAATGTATAAAATTTTTAAAAAGTTTCGAATTGATTTTATTTTATTCTCTAAAAGCAGTTACAAGCGATGTTAATATTACCTTAATATATAATTTATCATAAATATTACCTGAAACTCCGTCTCGGTATAAATAAGCATGTCGGCGAGTACCTCGCCTGTATTCGAATCTGTCACGACGATTTTGGGTGAGTAGATGTCTTGATCAAACACGACTTGTATGTGTGCATGAGAACATTTTGCCTCTTCACTGCCCAGTCGTACAATAGCTTCACCTTCACACGAGAAATATACACCAGATTCCTCTTCTTCTTCCTAAATCACATTTAAAATAATCAGAATAATGCATTATTGAACGACAAAAGCAATCGCTCTACCACAAGCACATATATCTTCTTTAAACAAGCATTGTTTAAAAATAGACATATATGTACATATAACATGTTATGTATTAAGAGCGCATATTCAAATATGTCCAAGTCGAAATCTACGCGATCGCTTTGGAACGGCGTAATATTGACGCACACTACAATGTTATTTTCTCTGTGTGCGTGTCAGGGCGAGCGTGAGGCTATAATAGTTACCTTACGACGACTACGAATCACTTTGATCTTTGATTATATACCTGTCTTTGATACTATTGGAACTAAAATAATAAAAAAATAATTTCCATATAATGGCTTATATAGTGTATAGAAATCGGAGGCTAATATGTGGAAATTGTTTTATTCTTTTAGTAAATTGAAGTCGGCTTTACATTTTCACCCTATTGAGTATATTATAATACGAGGGTGGATTGAAAAGTACTCGGCCTAACCAAGAAAATAAACACATACTAAATCAGTTATATTTTTATTTTCCTACATAATCACCATCAAGTTAAATACACTTTTGCCACCTCTCCTTCCAAGCATTTAGACCGTTGAAAAAAAAAGATTCTTCCTTAGAGTCAAAATATGCGTCTACAGCTGCTTTGACCTTGTCGTTTGTCGAAAATCTTTGACCTCCCAAGTGCTTTTTTAGGTTAGGGAACAGAAAGAAGTCTGATGGTGCCAGATCAGGTGAATACGGCGGATGCGGTAACAGTTCAAAGCCACAGTTGTGAATTTCAGCCATTGACTGTACTGACGTGTGAACACGGGCGTTATCTTGATGAAACAGGACTTTTCTTCTGAGCATTCCTCGACGTTTTTCCTTTATTTCCTCTCGTAAACGACGTAGTAAGGTGCAGTAGTAATCAGAGTTTATAGTCTGACCCCTTTCAAGATAATCAATCATAATCACACCTTTCGAGTCCCAGAATACTGAAGCCATCACCTTATTTGCCGACAAAATCGACTTAGCCTTTTTTAGGGGGTGGTGAACCAGGTCTTCTCCACTGTTTTGATTGTTGTTTTGTTTCCGGTGTGCAGTAATGAACCCATGTTTCGTCCATAGTAACAAAACGATTCAAAAAATCATCTGCATCGGCTTCAAATAACTCCAAACAGTCGCGTGAAATAGTCAGTCTTTTTTGTTCAACTGAAAGCAGTCGCGGAACCCACCTCGCAGACACCTTGTGGAAACCCAACTCGTTGACAATGATGTTTTGAGTTCGTTCATAAGAGATGCCTATAATCACGGCTATCTCTCTAATTTTTAATCTGCGGTCTCCCATTATTAAATCAAGTACTTTTTTAATATTTTCGTCAGTAGTTGACGTCGAAGGCCTTCCAGAGCGGGGTTCATCTTTCACACTCTCTCTACCACGCTTAAATTCTGCTATTCATTTTTTGACGGATAAATATGACAGAGCACAATCGCCTAATGTACTGACCATGCCATCATTGATGGCTTTTGATGATAGCCCCTTCTTATGGAGGTACTTAATGACGGCACGCTGCTCGATTTGCTCCATTCGCGGAAATTATGTCCGATTACTTTGTTAATAAATTTATAAAATCACAACTAATTATCGCACACGTTTCGAACTTCACACAATGAACTAGTCTGAACTGAACTAAATAATGTGGGTAGATTTGATTTTTAGAATTGAATGGATCTGTGTTAGGCCGAGTAATTTTCAATCCACCCTCGTATGTATGTGTTCTAATTGAAAAATATGTATTGTATAAAATATATATCATTTGATAAACTTTTATTCTGTTTCATAATGTAAACATAATTCATCAAACTAACAATTTCATTAGTGTCGGCGGGGATTAGTGTTGCCAGGTCTAGCAAGTAAAATTTCGGGACGGAAGGTAAAAATAATCGGGGATTTGGTTTTCATATCCGGACAACTACAATGACTACAAAATATAGGTTCTTTGTAGCCTTTTTGTGCTTTATTGAGAGCCGTGGTAGCTCAGATGGTCAACGCTAACTGTAAATATCACAGTATGCGAATAATGCGAAAAATTGTGACTGATATGTGATAAACGAATAAGTTTTCATCCAAACATCGTAAAAACTGAATTTTTTTCATTTTAGGCAAATTAAAACATTTTTGAACTATTTGTTTTTTTTTTGCAGTCCCTGTATTTTTCTTTAATGTGGTAGTAGCTAACAGATATAATCATTTTTGCTGTCAAAATTATGGATTAAAGTATAGAATAAGAAGATTAGTGAAAATCGGGACATTTGGCGTCCCGATTTTCAAGGGTGAATCGGGACGTGTCACTAGACCCTTGAAATTCGGGACGTCCCACGCAAATCGGGACATCTGGCAACACTAGCGGGGATCGAGCCCGGATTGTTCGCGTTTACGGCGAGCAATACGCCCTTGAACTACTCAACTCAAGCACGGCTCATGTTTTATATCTGGGGACACGGTAGTGCCTCCGCCAAGTCGAGCAAAACAGCGGCACCGCTGTATCATCATTGAGAGACTTGGTTATTTTACAAGTTATGATTTTGATGGCATGTCTTTGTTTAATCATAACGTTATCTGCACACTAGGAAGTTTTCCTAAGTAGGTGGGGCAGTTTAAATACATTAATTTCACCAGGACAAACATCCACACCTGGAACAATTATTTGTAGGTAATACAAATTTTTGTTACATGTGGGATTCGAACCTGCGGCGCTCAGCGCTACAACTCATTACCAAGTCACTCAGCCACGGAGCCAAAGGTGAAAGCCAACGATTTTGTATTTTTACTTGATCCGAATTGCTTACGTTCATTACTCATTTTTAAAAAAATATGTATGAAATGAAAATTTGCAATAAAAAGGGGGATTAATTAGGTATTTTAGGGGATCTAGGTTTTGCTATACACTAAAAGACTATATATTCCATTATAATAACGCTTAAAATAAAGTATTTTAGCTTATAATAATGGTTGTATTCAACCTGAAAGATAACTCTGATGCATATTTTCGTAAAACACTGTGAAGGGATTGTCTTCGCCCTAAAAAACCGTCATTAAAAACTATGATTTTGCATTGCTATGTACTAAATAAAGACTTCATCTTTCTAAAGCCCTAATTTTCAGCAAATAATCTCCTCACGTCGTTACGATATCGCCTTTGGAAAAACCATAAAACATGTAGTTTTCGACGCGAAACGCATATGCCCTCTTAACACTGTTAGAAACTACAATCAAGTTTATTTAAATAAATATTTTGTAGCAATCATACATTATAAACACATTAAACAGTTAGTAGTAAATATGAAATAGTGGATATTCTTCCACCTCACTACACGGCTCCCTTAATAATAATGCATATTTAATTGATTTTGACTACATCGATGATGTTCTCATTTAATTTATATTGAAGCTGGTTGTTACAGTACCAGTTTTTTCCAATTCTCTGTTCCAGAATGATGAGTATAGATAGTCAGTACAACAGGTTGTGAGGCATTCCATCTTATTCCTTGGAGAACAATACATCTGAGGTCTTCTTTGTTTGAAGTTGGATGCGGGTGCCCATTCACTGCTATAGCCACTAATCTTCAGGTGTCACTTCAGTTTTGTATAAAAGATAAAAATACAACTTGATGTATTTCCTTTTACTTTTTATATTCATTTATAACAATACATATATTTTTACCTTTAATAGAGTAATAGTCTCGGGATGTCTCGTGTCCGAGGACTTTTTCTAAAATATGTTGTTTCCGGGTCGCAGGACTTTCGGGTGAAAACCCAAGATACGCTTGTCGAAGTCTGATTGCTCTTTCATTATATTATTTATATGACTAAGATAATAGAGACCAGATGATGATTATAACGATTAGTTACCTACTAAGAGTATGATTACTATAGTCAACCAAATCTTAGAAATACACTTTGACAGCTGTCAGACTTATTGCACCAAGCATGCCAACCATAAAATGGGAAGTACAATATTCGATTCTTAAAAAAATCGATATCAATTATTTAGACTTGGTAATAATTTACAGTTTGGTTTGAATAATACCAGAATAAATTAAAAACGGATAATTTAAAATACAAGATTTATCAGTTTCTTCTTTTCAGTTTCTTTTCTTATCAGTTTCACAGTTATAAAAATTTAAGATTGAAACTAGAGTAAAAATAAATTAATCAATCACTTTCAGTACTATTAGTAGAGATATCGTTGTTTATATTAATTATTATTTGATTTTCAATAATGCAGTCGAAATTAGTGTCTCAAAGTCATCCATAATCATTTTTTTGTTTTTTTTTCTACCACTTTTGCACAATCATCCTTTGTGACATGGGCACATACTTCAACAAATATTTTTTTTATAGCATTGGGTGACAAACGAACACACAGTCCACCTGATGGTAAGTGGATGCTATGGCCCATGGACATACATATTTATCCTCAATTAAGAATTAAAACGCAAATGTGTTGTCACTCCTGAGGACTAAGATGGAATGCCTCAATTCCAGTAAAAAGGGTCTCCAGTTCTCTACATTCAACATACAAAACACAGCAGCATTACGCTGGTATTCTGTGAGAGCGTAGTCCTGCCCCGGTTGAGCCAACCCATTCGTGCTACAACTATAATATAGACGTAGCATGGCTCTACCACGTACAAAAAATTAATTATAGTCAACAAAGTTAAAGCAGTAACAGTCCAAAAACTTCACGAGTCACAAAATTACAAAATTACGCACAGTAAGCTCTCGAAACAGAAACAGAAACTTGTTTATTCAATATAGATTATGAATAATACTTATTGAGTCAATTTTTACATTTACCGTTGCTTCGCAAAAAAAAAACTCCGTCCTGGGAAGAACCAGCAAGAAACCCAACGGGACTAGTTTTTTTTTAAAATAAGAGCTTACAATCACGCGTGTTACAATTTACAACACAAAACAAATTAGAAATAGCTTGGTAGCGATCACCCTTCCCAGGGGTTATTATCATCCATAAATTCTTTAATATTAAAATAACCCTTTTTATACAAACTTAATTTAATAAAGTTTTTGAACTTTGTGTACTTATGTCAAATTTTGTATTATTTCTGGAATGTTGTTGTAAAAGCGTATACATCGCCCCAAGAATGAATTACTGACTCTGTGGAGTCGAGAACTGGTACCGAAATGGCGGGATATTGAAATTATGGAGTGGTTATTTTAGCATAGCCTTGTATATGAGTTTTTTAGCCTACACAAATTTACTATGACAGAGTATAAAAATAAACTTGTTTTATTCATGATTCATGTAATTTAAGGAATTTAAAAAAAAAAGAATTAAACTAATAATACATTTAAAAAAATTAATGATTCGATTATTTGAAAATTTTTACATATTAGGTGAATATTTTGCCGATTCGCATTACAGTGAATTTTAATCATCCAAACACTATGGTAATATACACAGCGACATATCATTGAAACGACGTCAAGTAAAAAAAGTTAATACTGGTTATTTTTTAACCCTTTACCGCATACCGTGACAAATATGGAACACTCAACTTTTGTTGTAATATATTACTGCCTGCGGCGTCTATAATATTTTCTCGGAACTAATTCGTACTAGAGAGTGTAACTCACCTAAATATGTAACAGTGGCGCCTCTTTAGAGACGCCTAGGAACTAAAATCGACTGTTTCGTCAGTCGGTTGCCAAAATTTGACAGGTCGACAGTTAGCAGATTTTCAATACGATTTTTTTATTGTTTTTTTCTTAATATCTGAGGATTAATTGTGATTTACCGGATAGAACAATGGACCCACAGGCTTTTTACGGCAAAAGAAGTAAGTTTAAGTCATAATATGTATTGAATATTATCATTTTAAAATTGTTCCCAATTTGGAACACCATGCAATTGTTACGTTTTTTGTAGTGCCAAATATGGAACATTATGCACTCCAGTCAATATTTTAACAGTTCCAAATTTGGAACATTATGCAGTGTTAGACCAAGATATATATTATATATCTATAGTGTTAGGTCAATTTTTTAACAAATTTTTTGTATTGAATATGAAACCGTCAATAACTTACAAGTTCAGAATTCGGAACATTATGCTGCATAAGATCTTTTTATACTTGCAGTTTAATACTATACCCTGCAGCTAATGTAATTTTTAAGTAGGACAAGTAAAAGTAGCGCAGTTTTAGATGTCCCGCCCTGAATATGTATTATATATAGTTATGTTTATACGTGATTATCTTTAAATTTGCTTAATTACTTTAATTGTAGATAAAATAGAGATGCGTCCTCGACGAACAATCGTCGTAATTCCAGAGAGCAGCGAGGATGAAAATGTATCAGATGATGAGACTTACAGTACTCAAGATCCTTTACATATAAATGAAGAAAAAGAAAAGTCTTCCTCGGACGGAGAAGATGAAGAAGAAGATGAAGAAGGAAAAGAGGAACTGGACCAGCTATTTCCTGAGTGCACTGAAGAGCATATGGAAACGTTAGAAAATTTTACAGACAATCAACCTTCTACTTCACAGGCAGCTTCTTCAAGTAAGAAAGAAAAGAAAGATAAGTTGGTGTGGTCGGATGACAATCTTCAGTATGATGAATCCAATATTGCTTTTTTGGGATCTGAAAATCTTCCAGATGAAATAATGCAGCTAAATACTCCAATGGAGTTTTTCAAATTTCTTTTTCCGTCATCTGCTGTAAATTTAATTGAGGAAGAAAGCAACGTATACGCAGCACAAATTTTCCCCGAAAACTTGAATTCAGTGACACATAAAGACATTTATAAATTTATTGGTATTATTATCTACATGTCGGTAGTACACCTGCCAACTACTCGTCATTACTGGAAGGAGGGCACATATGTTGAAAAAGTTGCAAATGTTATGACGTGCAATAAATTCGAAGAGATTAAAAGATTTCTGCATTTTTTCGACAAAACAAAAGAACTAAAACCATATGACCCGCAGTTTGATAGACTTCAGAAAATACGCCCACTTATGAAAATCCTACGCGAAAGACTGCTAAAAGTGCCGAAAGAGGAATTTTTGTCCATTGACGAACAGATGATCCCTACTAAGGCCCTAACTTCAGGAATCAGACAGTACAATGCAAAGAAACCCCATAAGTGGGGTTATTTGAATTACGTATTAAGCGGAGTCAGTGGATTTAGTTACGACTTTGAATTATTCGGAGGAAAATACCCAGCACCGCCTGAAAACTGTCCCGATCTTGGAGTGCCACGAAATGTGGTTCAAAGACTATTGAAGACTGTCTCGGACAATTTGAACCATAAGATTTTTGTCGATAACTGGTACACAAGTTTGCAGCTAATGGCAAACTTGCACAAAAAAAGGTATTCTGCCATTAGGCACAGTACAACTGAGAAGAGCTCCAAATATAAATATAAATAAAAAAGCTTTAGAAAAGAAAGAACGAGGTTATTGCTCCGAAAAAAGTGTTGCTGTTGATAACGTTAAGCTATCAGTTACCAGTTGGGTCGACAATAAAGCAGTCAGTTTGTGTTCATCCTATGTAGGCAAGGAACCAATGGGAGTTGTGAAAAGATATTCCAAAAAACATAAGCGTAGAGTTGATGTTTCTTGCCCAAAAGCAGTATTAATTTATAATAAATACATGGGCGGTGTCGATTTACTAGATGCCATGTTAGGCTTCTATAGGATCAAAATCCGCAGTAAAAAATGGTACCACCGCCTGTTCTTCCATTTCATTGATCTCTGTTGCGTGAATAGTTGGCTATTATGGCGGAGAGTCATGAAACAAAAGGGTGAAGATATTTACATTCCATTGCTTGACTTTAAATTAACCATAGCAGATGTATTGATGCACAAAGACTCAAAGGTATATACTCCGACTACACGCAAACGAGGACGACCACTGAATCAAGATGTTGAGGCAATTAAAAAGGGGCAATCAAGGCGACGCATAGAACTGCCTCAAATGGAAGTAGCTGGAGACGGGTTCAACCACTGGCCGAATTGGAAAACTGATCGCCAAAGGTGTAAAATGGTAGGATGCACGCAGAAATCCCAAGTGATGTGCGAAAAGTGTGGGTGTTATCTTTGTTTTAACAAAGATCGCAACTGTTTTAAAAACTTTCACACATAATTTTTTTAAATTAAATACTTATTCATAGCTTCACTTTGTTTCTTTTATTTTTATAAAATTCTATTTCAATTATACATAATTAGACCACACCGCATGTTGTACCAAATATGGAACGTCTATGTTATAGAACTAGAACGCACGGTGTTCCATATTTGGAACAATTACTTTTACCTATTTATCTTTTTTTAATAGTGTTCTATATTTATTTAAATATTTTTTTGGGGTGCTATATATACCCTATAGTGACATATATTTTTTCCAAAGGATTTAAAAAATTCATGCGGTAAAGGGTTAATATTTTGCTGTTTGGAAAATTCAAATTTAAATTAGCGATTAAAAACTACCCACGTTGTAATGAAATATAGATAACTTCAAAATTCTTCGGATTTACGTAAAAGGTTATTTTAAATCGTGTGAGTACGCTGGTGCAAAGTTATTGCGGAATGATTAATGTGAAACGTCAATAGGTGTTTCTTAGATTTGGTTGACTATAATGATTGTAATTGTTTTATAATTATAAGATTTTACTGCCTACATATGAATTGTTCAGACTTTAAAGTTAGGATTTGATTTTAAATGTTTAATAAATGTTAATTTTAACTAAAATTGTTATTTTATTGATGCATCTCGCCAGAAATGAGCTTGTTTCAAATTATATGCTGAGAAGTCTTAGGACGTCTCCGAACTTAGATTGTGGGTTATCTCGTATCCTGAGACTTTAAGAATGTCGGCACTTTCCAAATCCTAACTATAGTGTTTATTTAAAGTACTAAAGTGATAATAATTATATCAGAAGAAGTAAGGTGAAAAATAGAGTTTGAAGAATAAATCATACCTCGTTATAATTATCATCATACTCTTCATTGTGGTCATAATTGTGTTCATATTCATCATCATCTTCTTCAGTTTCTTCAAAGTGCACTTGCTTCGTTTCTACAGAAGTTGATCCTTTGTTAGCTTCACTATCACCAAAAGTGTCTTTTTCAGTGGTATTTGTTGAAACCACTTGTTCCTCTGTTTTTGCTAATATGACATTGTCTGCTCGTGCACTATTTTCTAAATGCTTTGGTAGTCTGAGTGGGGCTACACTTTCGAATTCAACGACACTGGTTTCTTTTTCTTTTCTGATTGCTTCTGCAGCGGCGGCTTGTAACTTCTGCAAACACAGTTAAGAAAGATAATGAATTATAAGAAAGTTGGCTACAACAGACACATAAGGCCTAAGATAAATAGAAATATTTTTTGATTTATTTGAAGAACAATATTTTCTTTCTTATACTTTTGTAAGTTTACGGCTGAACCATAAGCCTCCCCAATTGATGTATGGATTTGGAATAATCACCACGTTTAGAAGCCGAGATGAGAGCTGTTAGTGAAAAATCATTTTTCACCTTGGAGACAGCTTACTGTCGCCGGATGAGGTATTTAACGTCTGACGTAAACGATATGGAATGTAGAAGTACGGAGTAGAGACTGTGTATTAAAAAGTGTCCATAGAAAACCGTTAAATAAGGGTGGCGCCACTATAACTATTTTAAAGAACGCACCGAAAAATATTAGTGGGATAGACGACTTTTTCGAGGTTTTATTTACTAAATAAAGTTACTTTAGATTTTAGAGCTACTGAGCAGTTTAGCAGCACACTTAAACCGTCGACAACTGCTAAGTTCATTTCATCCCAGTAGCTACTCCAGCGCTGTTGTGGAGAGTTTTTGAACTGTTATTTACTGCTTACAGATAGCCACTTTTTCAACTATTCTACTATGGGAGTTGTTACTCCTCCTTCTACACTCCATAGTAAACGAGATGATTAAACCGCCATCTTTCATAGGCCATGAAATCTTTTTAGCATTTCACATAGTTGCTTCCTTAATACAACACACACAGGACAAAATGGGGGTTATGGAATATGAATTATATATATATATATATATATATATATATATATATATATATATATATATATATATATATATAACTTTTTGGCTAGTTGAACCTCGCATCGTCTTTTTGTAGCAGTTTGTTGAAATTCGCCAATGATATAATAAAAATGAAAAATGAAAACAGATGAGTTTCATTAAAATAAGACCAGAACACAAGTTTTCTTTTCCTGCTAAAATTTTAGTAAATCTATCCACGCACTATAAACAAAGGTGTTAGAAAATTTAAATTATTTTTATGATGTTTCAAAACAAAACCTATAGAAATTGTATAAGAAGACGAGTAATTGACATTATTGTTTTTTGTAGTCAAAAACATTATTTATATACATATTTTTGGATAAAAAATCTACTTTAACTTTAACCGGGAAAGGTATCAGGTAAAAAAACACTAACACCACGGTAAAATTATAAAATTACCGTGCTAATACACAGCAGGGCAATGATAATGTTTATGTCATTTGACACTAATGTTTTAAATACAGATTTTTTTGACCTCAATATTATGACGAGTATAACAATAATAATATAATTTTAAGATACATTTGCCATGTAGTGGTGGTGTAAGAATATTCTTGCTATCCCATATCATCCCGTGGACGTCTTAAGAGGCGACAGAGGGATACAAATCAGGAGATAGGCAGCAGCGTCTTCCTAATAACGACTACGAATAAAAACATGCAGTTGCCAAGCCACTTGCCAAGAGGGGCAACTACGGCAAATATCCCCCTATGAGATAATCTATGGGTAAGGGCCATGTTCATCAGTGGAATTTAATAAGCTGTAACGGTATGATACATTTGGGATGGCCACAAAATATGCAAATGAAGAAAAGGCTTGCATATTTATGCTGTCCGTCGCGTCGCCCGCTTGCGTGCGACGCTCGTAGATCGTGGATTGTTACATTAATATTACTATTACATAGTACATACACGAATTGTAATAGAAAAATATAATATGTATAATGGTGAATTACTGTTATAGTTATATGAGTTACTAAGTATAATTGAATTCAAATGACGAAATTGTTAATCCCCATAAAAGAAAACAACATAATATATTATATGTAAATATATAAACAACATAATTATATAAATGATAATAAGTATAATAACATCCAAAATTATTTTATTAAAAATTTCGTGACAAACTCTAGCATATTTGCCCAGGACGGCGTAAATAGTAATTTACTTAAACGGATATATCTTTAAATTGCGCTATGAGGGATTGACTTTAATAGACTTTAGCGGTAATTTAATAATCTTGTAAAGTCATCATTTTAATATCTTCTTATCATGAATATATAAAAGTAAATATTAGCTACTTTGTATACAGATAAATCAAAAATGAACGCATTTATGTATAAAACATAAGTATTAATAATTACTTACTCGGACACACTCAACAACTTTGTCATGGAAATTAGTTGCGATATTGGAGGATTTAAAGCGCACAGCAAGTGTCTCCTGTTCACCCGCAACATTTTCAGCATAGTTAATTCCAGCCCATGTCCATGCCCGATCTGAATTCTTCATAGGTAATAACTCCAAATCCATAAAGAGCAACATGTTAAGTACTGCTTTGTGCACCTGTTTATCAATAAAATAATAAGGATGAAATTACTGATAAATATACCAATCAACATAAAGGACTGACTAAATGTAAAAAAAGTATTTATTAAAAAAAATCTTTACAAATTAATCAAATTGGAGGGTCTGTTGCGTGGCGGCGCTGTCGTAGCGCCACAAGCAAAACACACCGAAGCCTAAATCGCGCTATCAAAAGTTCCGAATCATAAACAGTATATATAGAACATCTCCGAACTATCACACTTGCGCCCTCCTTTCTGCCAAGGAGGGTCGCGTTCATATACGGCTTAGAGATCTCTCGTCAGATCGGTAAGCCAATCCTTAAAGGCGGTGTTTAGTGGGTAAGTCTCCACATAACCACGCAGCCGGCTACGTGGTATGGTATAAGCATTCACCGCCTCCCTCCCCCGCTTTCCGGAGGGTTGCCCATATTTGCTTCGGGCGCAAAAAAAAACTATCACACGGAACGTTGGCCGCTCCCCGGCCAGAACGCCTTGCCCGGCGGGAAATCTCCCCTTTTCCTTCCACGACCACAGTTGTAATGGCAAAATAACAGCTTTTTACTAAATACATATGAATTATGAACGTATATACGATATTTAGAACAAAAACACAATTTTTTAAATTTTTGTCTGTCTGTTCCGGCGAATCTCTATAATGGCTGGACCGATTTTGACGGGTCTTTCACTGGCAGATTCTACTTTTATTATAGCAAAAAAAAAAAAATTAGGTCCCGCGCAAAAAATTAAAACCCTAAATTACACGCGGGCGAGCTCGCGGGGAACAGCTAGCCAACAATAAATGTTTAAATAAATATCATTATTCCGTTCCATATCACGTCCCTAAGTACAAATAGTTCATTCGAATTTAATCTTATAAATAATAGCGGTTAAAGTATGAAATTGCCGTTTTAATAGAATGGTGTCAGTTCTAACATTCGCGATTAATTAAAAAAAAAAACAATTTGAAATAAAGGATAATTATTTTACATTTTCAGTCTTTATAATTATCTAATTATATTTCAATATTCGAATACGTATTCGGAGGTGGTTTCAACGCAGCAGAGATCTCACAATATCAATGGTGCAGTTGAAGATATGAGAAACGAACGCACCGTGCGTTTTTGGTTTAGTCGATTCTATAGTGGAAATTTCGACTTGAAGAATGAACTACCGTAAACCACTGCAACATTGCCTCTCATATCCAACTTTGCCTAATACAATAATTTACCAATAACATCTGAAATATGCCATGTAGCAACATCAAACTCTTAGTAAGTTTTTTAATCATCATTTGGCAACTCAAAAACCCAGCCGCCATGTTTATAATTGTAGAAACCACAAGACAGTGACCTGTCAAACGCAACAAGTGTTAGCCGACTTCGACGTTTCGCGATAAACTTTTTTAGTAAGTATAAAATTATATTAAATTTCCACACAGTTTCAATACTTATATGTTATTTGTATGTTTTACTATCGTTTTGAATTAATTTTAATTGTTTTTTATGATATACAAACAAGTGATGTATGTTTAGGCAAATTTGTCACAATGATTTCGATTTAGTATGCCCAACTTTGCCATAGGTAGGGCTGTCACTAGCTACTTTAATTATATTATATGTAAAATGCTGTAAAATTTTATAAGTAGATATATTATAACAAATCATCTTTTTCGTGGATTAAGAATGTCTTTCAAATCAGACGAAAATAATAATAAATACTATAAACTAAGTATGGTAGTGTAGTGGCGGCATAAGAGCCCAATCCCTTTTATCAATGCGTGGGTGCCTAAAATACGGGCTCAAACTATCTTCCTGCTTGTTAAGACATACCAAGTCGACACTTCATCTAGTGGGGGACTGGCAGTCCTAGCCCGTATTCTTTTTTTATATGAAACTGAAGTGGGAATCAAAATTACAGTCCACTTGATGCTAAGTAGCTAAAGCAGGCCATATAGTGGCAGTGGTCATGTTGACATTTTCAGGAGTATACCTACTTACAAATATAAAAGGCTGTGATCATGATAATGAACTGTTGTAATTTCGCGATTATCTTTCAGTTGTGGTTTCTTTCTTTTAGATTAAAAATGAGGAACAGAAGAAAGCCAGGGTCCAGACGTTACAAAGATTACGAAGATAATCTTTTAAATATTGCTGTAGAGTTGGTAAAAAATAAAAATATTTCAAGTTACGAAGCTGAAAAGCAATTTGGTATCCCCCCGACGAACCATTGCTAATAAAGTTAAATTGAAACATATGAAAAAAATTGGTTCTCCATGTAGGTTAAGCGAAGAAGAGGAGGATAAAATAGTAGAAGCTCTTATACTTTGCGGAGAATATGGTTGTCCATTGACTCGTTTTGAGCTGCTTATGATTGTTCACAATTATTTAACCAAAAATAATAAACTGTGGATTTTTAATGATAAACTACCTGGTGAACGGTGGGTTCGAGAGTTTTTGAATCGACATAAAGAAAAATTGACATTGCGCTCTACACAAAACATAAAGAGCTCACGTGCTTCCAAAACAATAACTGAATATGAGGAATATTTCGAAAATCTAAAGAAAAGTCTTGTCAATGTTAAAGCACATAATATAGTCAATTTCGACGAGACAAATTTAACTGACGACCCTGGATCGCAAAAGTGTATTTTTAAAAGGGAAAAAAATATCCAAATAAGATTTTAAATAACTCTAAAACTGCAATATCAATCATGTTTGCTGCCACGGCATCAGGCGATCTTTTTCCGCCGTATGTGGTATATAAATCTCTGCATTTATGGACCAATTGGTGTGAAGGTGGGCCGCCTGGCACCAGATTCAATAAAACAAAATCCGGATGGTTTGATGCCGATTGCTTTCAAGATTGGTTTGAAAATATAATTTTACCTTGGGCACAAAAAAATGGGGAACCGAACGTATTGATTGGAGATAACTTATCCTCACATTTAAATATACAAATAATATCTAAATGCCAGGAAAACAATATAAGATTTGTATTTCTACCTCCAAACTCAACACACGATACTCAACCCCTTGACGTGTCTTTTTTTAGACCGTTAAAAAGATCTTGGAAAAATATTCTTCTAGATTGGAAAGTAAGACATCCATCAGCCAGTGCACTAAACAAACAAATATTCCCAGAATTACTCCGTACGTTAATTGATGCAATAAAAATGAATACAGATACAATAATTAGAAACGGGTTCAGGGCGACAGGCGACAGCGACTACAACCAGAAGCAGTATTAAGAAAATTACCAGATTACAAAGAAAACAGGGAACCACAAACATTTGACGAAACGCTCTTAAATTTTTTGAAGGACTCCAGGTCACCGTCTGTTTACAACACTGCAAAACGACGCAATAAAAAAATTTGTACAAAACCAGGGGAATCTGTTTCTACCGATGATTTCAGATTGTGTGCAAATAATTTATTGGATACTAAACCATCGAATAATTCATCTGACGATGAACCATCGACCAAAGACTTAGATACAAATATCAATTCCACTATTTCGCCAGGAACTAGTGTCTGTGTAGACAAAAGGTTACATATTTCAAGAGATCGCTTTTTGTTCCGTAAGTCAGCAGTTAATAAAATGAGTACCGTTCCACAAAGAAAACAAATTAAAATATTGTCAGATATAGTATTAAATTCATCAAATAAACGAAAAAATCGTAGTTCCAGTAGTTTGTCGCTATCTTCATATTCTCTACATGATTCTTCTGACGATAGTCTTTTTGTACCCTCTAATAGCGATACAGAAAGTTTCCATGGCAGTGATTTAAATTTAACGGAAGAAGATAACTATACTGATGATAAAATAGGAATTGGGGATTACGTTTTGGTTAAATTTTTAAGCGGCAAAAATGCCAAATACTATGTAGGTAAAATAATTGATTGTAATAATAATGAATTCACGCCTTTAGTCGAAGACATATCGGTAATTACGCGGCTCGATATTCAAAAAAAATTACCTAAACCCATAGTTGGTCGTCGTGGTGAATTAAAATTTAGTATAGACTGCAAAATTCCAATGTCAAATATTAATAATTGGCTAATTCGCATGTTATTTATAAAAAAATATAAAAATTGAAAGACTACTAAGAAGAGAAAACCAAAAACAAATTACGGGTGATATTATCATTAAAAGTAATTATAATTATAAAGGATATTAAGCGATTGAACAGTATTATTAGTAACTAATTGTTACCGTATTTAATACTCTTTTAAAGAAAATTTTAAATTCAAATGTATATTTGTTTCTTTTTTTGTTTGGTAAAGTGACTATTCCTAGTGCGTCAGTATCATGAGAGCTTAACTTGATCAGACATTGGTACTGCTGACTTGGGGTCGTCTGTCTAAGATTTTGTCTCGAAAATGTAATTGAATCATTTTTTGTTATCTCCTGCAGAAGAGTTATCATCTGCCCAAGATATTATTTGATTAGTTTCAATGTTAATCGGACAATGAAAAATTTATATTTAAGGTTTCTCTTATAGATTTTAATGTTGATTATTTTTATAGAGAGTAATTGAAATAATTACTCAATAATATTATGTGGACACTTCAATATTTTTTAATAAACATAATTAAATAAATTTTATTTATTTTTACTGCTCTGCATTTGCGACAACCCTATGCAATTTTAAATAATGTATGAAAATATCAACAAATTCAAACACAACATTGCCTAGCTTTGTTCCAGGTGATATAAGCAAAAGAGACTATTTTTTCAAATGTTAACCCTAAGAACTATTAATAAAGTTTAACTTAGTGTGCAAGAATAATGTATTTACGTCATTTTTGGCGTCGAAACTGAGGCAGGCAATGTTACAATTTTGTGGTCCAACTTTGCCTAGTGACGAAAACTGTAACATTTTTAAAAAAAAGCATATATAACAACGTACCAAGTACACTTCAGTTGCAAACTAGCCTAAGCTTAGTACACAGCCGTATAAAGTTGAAAATGAATTGATATTTTGCGAGATATATGCAGGTTAATATAAAACTACGGCAAAGTTGCAGCATCTTACGGTACGAGGAAGACCATGATGCGTCGTATGTTTTATGAGTATCGGTAGTGGTCTATTCGCGTACTTTTTCGACATCAAAGTGACTATCGTTTTGATATCAACAAATAATGCGAATAGACATGAAACCTCTTAAGTAAAAAATAACGGTGAAGTCTATTTGCGTCATTGATTTATATATTACTAGCGTAAGGACCGGGCTGACCGAACAACTAAAACGGACCAGTGCGTTGGCCCCTGGCCCTAAAATTACAGTTTAGGGCCAACGCGAATCGGTCGACAGTAGTGCGCGCGCAGGACAGATTTGTCTGTCATAAATATGTGTAAAACTGTCATATAAATACTTCGTAAAAGAAGATTAAAAAGGAACATGGGATATCGCATCATCCGTTAATAACCCTGTATTAATTTTGTTACAATTAAATTATGAACGCATTTTTAAAGTTTTATTTTACAGTTAGTTTAGTTACGTTACCAATGTTAGGCCAGGGTTGGATTCAGACCCTCAAAATATTGTACATGAAAAATAAAATTATACTATTTAAAAAAAAAATTATATCACGTTTGACGTTCATGTTTCTTTTTTCCCATGTGGCGGGATTTTGGCGTCACACGTCTAGTTTATCTATACGTTTCGTTTTTGACGGTTTTATTTTCTTCTGTTTTATTTTTGTCTACAAAATTTATTATAAGTTTAATTTCGAATATTGGTACCTAATATATTTTATATTCAATAAGGGTAAAACGAAAAGAGTATAAAAGAAACCATATCTGCTTAATTGAATCTGAAAATCTGATTCATAAAATATTTTGAAATTCTGTTTTCAAACCGATTGCTTCTGGAGCATAGAGTTTTTATCGTGGTAGCCCCTCATTATAGTTGTATCAAAGATGCAACATAAATGCATCGATCGAGCAACAATTGACCAGAAAGGGAGCTAATTCTAATTTTATTTAAAAAACGCGGTACTCATGTACAATACAGAAATTCTCGATATCGTAGGGTTAATATTAAAAATTAAAAGGACCTAATAATAATACAAGTCGATCTTTAGGTAAAATGATGGTATTTGCGCTTAGTATTATAACGATACTATATACTACAAACTATTAAATAATGGTACAGTTAGGATAATTATACTACGAAATCCACCTCTGGTTACGTCGTCTTATGATATGACGTTTGTATTATGACAGATGCGCTACTTTTTCTTGTATAAAAAAGTTATGAGTAAAATATTTAGACGGGCCTATCCTTCTTTTTGAAATCATTGATTTGCGTACTTTGCAGACGTCGCGTCGTATCGTTTTAATGTCAACAAAGTACGAATTTTGATGTCAACAAAGTATGCAACACCTAAAGTAAAAAATAACGTTGCAAAAGTAATGGTTAAAGCTGATACTTATCAAACAACTAAGAAATTAGCATTATTAAAATTAAAATAAGATTTAATTTTACGTTTAAAATGGTCTCATCACAATTTCATTGAACACTGCAAACCATAAGTTTCGTTGTAAAAATAATGTTGAAAGTAAAAAAAAAAAATGATTTTGCTGCAATACTTTCAAAAGATAATAGATAAATTACTAAAGGTATTTTTGTGTAAAATTGCAACCATAAAAGTTTTGCATGTAAGTTTTTTATATATTTTTTCTACTTAATGAGATAATCATACAAAACACTTATTTTAATAATGGTTATTCATGTCCAATCAGAAAGCAAATAACACACAGTAAAAGGCAGTTTTTACGATACTACAGACAGACAAACGCTTAAATTTTATTTATAAGTATGCATAGATTATGCTCAAAATTACCAATTCTCTTCGAAGAAGAAGACGATAGGTCATTCGACTAGGATGATACAAAATTTTTATTTCACCGACTCCGCGCTCTTTCCACTCTCGCGACTTTTCGTCGTATCTAAATAATTTACAACGTTCACCAAAGAGTTTCTCCTGAAATTAAGCGTTACATATGATTATATTAATTTCATTATTAATGAATAATCAATATTTACATGTATATTTATAAAAAAACCTACTTCATCTTCTTCACCAGTAGTTACCACAATTTTATCGGGTAGAGGAACAATAGGTTCATAATGAGGATCATATTCCTCATCAGCGCCCACGCCAGTTTCAGTGTCTTCACTGTTAGAAACATTTGATTTCTCACTCAAAGATTTCTTAGACTTACTGGTGAACAATTGCTGACCTGCACCCTCCCATTCAAAATCTGCTTTCTCTGTTGAAAAATAGATTAATATAGTCACTCGTAAAAAGTTTATTTTATTAAACATTTTGTATATTGTTATGTCTTACTTTGAATATTAAACCCAGGTCCACTTGTAGATAACGCTGCAAACGATAGAGCATTGTCTACTTTTAAAGGTAATTCTGTCTTTTTTTCCTTTTCATCAGCTTTTAATTCAATACCTTCTTTTGAAACAGACAAAGAAGTAGTTCCTGGTTGATTAAAACTATTACCCTCAGATTTCACACCGAATGCAACTGGTTCATTAGATACTTTTCCAAAAATTGTGTTATTACTACCTGAATTTTGACTTTGAGATCCGAAATAGTTAAATCCACCAAATTTTGTGGAATCTACTTTTAAAGCAGATGGACCAAAAATGCTTCCTTGGGTAGAACTACTAAACAGGTTAACAGGCTTTTGATCATCTCCAAATATTGATTTGACATCGGAACTTTGCGTGGATTCCTTTTTAAAACTTGAAAAATCAAACACAGGTTTGTTAGTAGTAATTCCAGAACCAGCAAATATTGATTTATTCTCACCAAAAATTGTTTTAGTTTCAGCAGACATGTTTGTGTTTAATGAATCAAGCTTAGGTGCTGCTAAAATAGACTTTTTAACAACAGTTGATGGTTGAGATGAGAAAATGTTTGTTTGACCATTTGATGATCCAAATGTCAATTTCTGTTCGGAGAAAGTATTGAAGGCATCGCTTTTTTCGGTAAATGTATTTTCTTTGTTAGTGTTATTATTTTCAGTCTGACTATCTGACATTATCGGTGATTTAGTGTTAGAACCGACAGATCCTAAGGGAGTACGGAAAACAGAAACATCAGCAGTTTTGTCGAAATTGCCAGGTGTACCATATATAGAATTAGTTGGGCTTTGTAAATTAAGAACAGACCCTTTTGTTGGGGTAGAAATGCTACTATCTCTTGGTACTTGTGTTGATTTCGGTTTCATTAACAATGTGGAGTTATTTTTAGTTGATGCCTCATTTATAATTTCGTCATCATCTTTACACCCTCGACATCCTTGGCATGGTGGCTTGTTTTTATAAGTATAGAAGTTTTCTGGCAATTTAAGTTCAATAGCTTTTTGTTTCTCTTCATTAGAAGCCAATATTTCACCGACAAAAACTACATCATCACTCTCACTTTCTTTCGTATCCACATCACATTTTACTTGCATGCCGGTAGCTTTATCAACAGCATTTTTGAATTGTAATGCAAGCTCCGTATTAGGAAATTTCAAACAAAAATGTTCTAAGCATCTTTCTCCTTCGTTAAAATAGTTGATAGTTATATGCCAAGTTTTTTCATCCTTTGATTTTAATTTTGTTTCATGGGTCAAGGAATGATTTAGACAGATTTTTAAATCCTCTCCTCTCATTAAAATCCTGAAATATATTAATAGTATTCATATAAAATATATAAATAGAAGATAATTACTACTTACATCATCCATCAATTATTAACAGAGGTCGGAATTAGATAGTTACTTATGTACTTGTCAAAAAAAATGTTGATATCAATATGGATTTTCCCGGGATTTCTAATAGACAATCCTGTGTGGCCAACAATATTACAAATAAATAATAATAAAAACCAATAATAATAAAAACCTCAGAGATAGATAAGACAAATAAATCAAAGGTAATTAACATACAATTTTTATTAGTATTTACATTAATACACAATATGTTATAGTTATACTTCGCCTATTTTATAAATACGAAAATGCTTTTGCTTCTAGCCTAGACTCCTGAGGTTTTGCTTCAAAAGACCCATCAGAGTCATTTTCCTTGTTCCATTCATTCAAAGTACCACTAAGATTTGAAGTGTTCGCTTCCGGTATTACTGTATAACTTCTATGAGAATTGAATTATATAATATCCATTTGTACATTGACAAAGATCGCGAGACGTCAACTGAGGTGAGGTTAGCAAAATTCGAATGCGCACATTGAAATATTTCAACTTCGGACATTTGATGTTGCTGATTTCAACTAAATTGGGCAACGTCGTGCGTGCAGTGGTTTGAATTGTGTAAAAGTAAATAACTTTTTTAATTAATTTTTTTATTTAAATCACGGGATTTTTCTGCTCTTTAAAATTAATCTCAGGATTTAAGGCATATCCACTTTCTTCTTTCGTTGTATGAAATCAGTGTAAGTACATAAATAACTCTACCTAATTCCGACCTCTAATTATTAACTTAAATAAAGTTTACCTCATTTTACCATTTTCCTGATGTGCTAATATTTTTACTATACCAACTGCATATTTTTCCCATTTACCCGAAATGAATTTGTATAGATTTGCTCTTTGTCCAAATATCAAGTTTTCATTATCTTCCCCAGTAATATGAAAAATATCCTGTAAGAAAAACGAGGTTGGAATCAAATTATCTTATCACATGCAAGTATTAAATAGCTTTTTGTAACTTACCATTTCCTTCAACGAACTAAACGGACTGTTAGGTAGTTTTGCTTCATCGATATTTGAAAAAATATTATCGTTGCCTTGTTTATCCTTTATTTGTTCCTTTTCATTTTGCGGCGCTTGGAATGAGAACCCATAATGTTTCAAGACATTTGGGTTAGATGTTGAGCATGCAATTATTTTCTGAGCTTCAGACAATTTTCCTCCATCAGTACTTATCAAAGAAAAATTAATTGGTTGATCTTCTGTGGGTTTTGACGCACCAAAATAGCTTGAAACTGACTTTTGATCACCAAAAGAAATTACATTTGTTGATTTACTAGCCGGAATCCCAAAAGAAAATTTTTGCAAGCCAGTTGCATTAAATGATGAACTTGTTTCATTTTTTACATTTTGCACATTTGCAGTGTGAGAAATGCCAAAATTAAATTTAGGACCTGTTGCATTATTGATCAAACTAGATTTTGATTCGTTTTTGACAGTACTGGGATCCTTGGGATTATTACAAGCACTACAACGAATAATGTTACTGTCATTTCTTACTAAGCACTGATTACATTCCCAAGTTCCCTCTTTGGGTTTGAATTTATCTCCCCAGCCAGATTGGCTACTAATTGATTTTGGCGGCAATACGAAATTAAAAGTCGAACTTTCGTTACTAGAATTTTGTTTAGCTGTTGAGTCTTTTGGACTTTCACATGCGCAACAAAATTCGACGTCAGCTTCATTACGAATATAGCACATTTTACACTCCCAGCATCCTGGTTTAGGTTTAAATTTGTCGCTCCAATCGGAAGATGTTTCAGTTTGTTCATTGGAAGAAGAAATTTGATTGTTTTGTTTCGCCGCGTTTTGCTCCTCTTTAACTGCTTTCAAATCATCACCTATTTTAGACTGCGCTAATTTGACAGCTTTTACAAATTCATCGCAAAGCTGAACAGTTTTAAATCGTAAACAGAATGTTTCAGCAACTAATTCGCCATCGGAAAAATCTTTAGCACACCATGTTACTGCTTTATCCATATTAGGCATTTTCTGGAAAATCATTTCTTTAGTAATAGCGTGATTACAACACACTTTCATAATTTGTTCCCTTCTCATCAAAAGACGAACTTTTTGGATATTATCTTTTTGCACAAGCAACTTAATGTTACCTAGACCTCTTTCTTTCCATTCTTTGGCAGATGCATCAAATCTAAGCAACTTTGCACGATGTTCAAACAAAATATTCTCATCTTCTTCACCTGTTTTTTGATCTACTAATGCGGGTAATGGTACAACAGGTTTAAAATCAACTGCAGGTTCAAATTCTTCCACGACATCGGAAGTATTCAACTTATTACTGTGTTCTGAATTTTGGACAGATGGAATAATAGTTACAGTTTGTTTAGTTATCGTATCAAATAAATTAGTAAATGAAGTTTCAGCATTAGTTTTAAATGATAGGCCAGTAAAAACATTGACCTTATCTTTAGATGTATTTGGAGTACTTGTATCAGTATTTTTTACGTCGGCAACAGCTTTAAAGGATGGAGTACTTGAAAAAGTAAAACCTCCAACAACGGTTTTATAAATTTGGTCGTCATTAATATTCCCTTGAATACTTGTTGTTTGTGATTTAGGAGTAGCAGTAGTCTGTGATTCAGTTTCTTTTTCAGTTGAGTTAGAGTTTATAGAAGATGCAGCTTCTTGACGAGCTTTTTCAAACATGTCATAAAATTGTTTTGCAATATCGGCAGTTTTAAACCTAACACAAAATTTCTCGAGTATAACGGTTTCTTCGGCAAAATCATTAGCAACCCAAAAGTAGGCTTTTGTTTCATTCTTCATCGGTTTAAGTTCCATTTCTGGCAAAATAATATGATTAGCACAAACTTTATGTATTTGTTCTCTTCTCATAAGCACTCTTACTTTTCCGGTTATTTTATGCTGTAGCAATTTCATTTCACCCAGTCCTCTTTCCTTCCATTGTTTATCAACAAATCTAAACAATTTGGCTCTGGCATTGAATATCACAACTTCGTCTTCTTCTCCAGTTGTGACTTTTACTTCAGCTGGTAAAGGTATTATAGGTTTAAAATCAGGGCAAGGGTCGTAATTCTCTATAGACGTATTGCTTTTTTCGGATAGTGTCCTTGATTTGTTGATACTCATATTAGGTGAGGATGATTCTTTCACGACTGCACCAAAACCTGCTTTCGAGTTATCAAACTTTAAGGAGTTATTAAAAATATTGGTCGATTGAGAATTGGTGAACATGGTTGGATTCCAAGGCGATGATGAATTTGTTGTGGCAGGGAGTTTATTTCCCGCTTGAGAGAAACTAAACTTAGGGGACGTAACAGCCTTGCTTTCATTTGTACAGGGCATTGGTATTTGGTAATTATGGGGACTTCCTTTAATATGTTGAGGTGGAATTGTCACGCTTAAAATTGGCGCAGCGGTAGTCGTACAGGTCGGTAGTGGATCTGAAGAAGTTATTACTACATTTACTGGTAGCGATCGCAAAGTTTCCTTTACTTCGGCGGTGAGTGTTGATTTTAAAACAGACGCTGTTGTTGTTACTGGCGCTAGTGAAGTCGAAATTGGCATAGACGTTGACGATACTACAGGTATTGTAGGTATATTTAATGGAGGTGCAGTTGGTACAGTAGACGCAGCCGACAAATTTGGAGGAACCAGATGAGCTACATCAAGATACATTTGATCTGGAGTCGGATATACATTAGAATAGTTCATTTGACCTCTTGTTGGGTCAAAAACAGGTGGAGCACCAGGAACAGATTGTGGTTGAGCGAATTGAGCATATTGGTTATAGAGACTGTATAAGTTCTGTCCATATAACTGATAAGGGTTTGAAGGAACTGGAAAAGGAGGTACAAGTCGTTGAGTGAAGGGAGGAATTACTTGTGTAGGCGTAAATGGCATGTGCGGAGTAAATGTAGAAGTATTATCATTTGATCTATAGTTTTCATCCACATTATACATGTCATTTTCATCTACAGTCTGATCAGAAGATACTTTCTTCAGCTTAAATACCTCTTTTTTCAAATCCGCAACTTGTTTTTTTAGTTCTACCACATCTTTACATTCATTTCTGCATTCATCTAACTCACTTTTTACTTCACCCACCGATATTTTAAGAAGCTTAAATTGTTCTGTTATGTTTTCAGTATTAGAATGAATAGTATTAATAATTTCATTACCTAACTTTCTATTTTCTTTAAACCAATGTTTAGTTTGCTCCATAAATTCATTAATTGTTACATCTCTTTTTTGCAAATTTTTAATCTGTTTTTCAATTCGCTCTAAACATTGGTGGTCCAATCTGTTGGTTTCTATCAACTGTGAATCAATTGCAGATCGATAGCTAGTGATATTAGCTTGTGATTGATTCTTGGGAGTAGAACTTATGTTACGAAAATGATGGTTTGGTCGTAAAGGAAATTGTTCACTCCCAATTAAGGATATGTTTTCATCTGATGAGTTTTTCCCGTCCACATTATTGATAGCATAGGAAAAGTCTGGATCTATCTTGTTTATGCAAGCTTCAATGTCTTCAATTAAATCTTGGATCTGGGAATATAAAGGATTGTTTTTAAAGGCTTCTGAATTCTTTAGTTTTTCTAAAGCCTTAAAAGCAAACTGTTTAGCCTTACTTAACAATGAGATACATTTTGATTCAAATGCTACATCTCTTGATGTAGGCATTTCTTCGATAGCCATTCTTTTATATGCCTCCCCAAGGTAGTAATATCCCTTTGGAGTCTTAACATTAGACAGTAAGTCGACAACTTTTTCAAATTCACAGTCATGGAGATAAACAAGAGCAACATAAAGCTTGCTTTCTTCTATTAATGCATTCAGTTCCTTAGAACTCAGTTCCGCGTGTGTATAATCAAACATTCTTTTTTCAGGAAACTTAATCATAGTTTTATTTTTAAGTTGAGCCAAAAGGGGTATTGCTTCTGAATAATAAAGAAATGCCCTCATTTCCAATTCATTACTCTCGTTTTCATTTCTAGTTAGTTTTGCTTGTTCACTAAAAATGCGACCAAGAATACATAGAAGTTCAGGATCTAAGCCATGATTATCTATGCATCTTACAACCTCAATACCAGCACTTAATGTTGCTCTTATATCAGTTAATTCAGTACCTAATTCATTTTGACAATATTTATATGCACAATCCCACCATTTCATTTGTGTTAGAGTACAAAGCAAGTCTGTGATATTAGCTGGAACAATATATGGTTTCTCAACAGCTATAAACGATTGTTGGTTATGTTTTTGTTTTATTGCAGTCAGGGCCGTACAATATGCAAAAGCATGAATGTCTATTTTATTTAAACCTTCTGGCCCACAGTTTGTTACAGTTGGCTTTAACATATCAAATAAAATACACTTAAAATTAGCATAATTTTTGTAGTTCAATAATATCCATACTATATGGTGTAATGAATTTGGATTTTCTCTTTGTGCATCAACATCATAAGCTTCCACTTCAATTCTTCTTGGTAACCTCAATGTAGGAGCATGAAAAGAATTAGATGCTAAATATGAAGAATTCATTTTTGCTTGATGTTCATGGCTTGTGTACATTTTTTCATATAATTTATTTTTCCATTCGGGACCAGAACAAACTTGTGAGATTTGATCTAAAAATAATTGACTTTTATCTTTACAATTAGAAAGTACATAATGACCTGACTGGGAGCACCTATAGCAACCTTCAATATACCAGCGATTAACTGCGTTTTTTTGCTTTTCTGGGGCATGATTAAGCCAATTTACTTTCATATCAAGTGGAACGGTTTGCCAAGCAATTAGAATTAATGGATCCGCAAGTCTAACAGCTTCACGCCAACCTATTTGATCCTTTTTTGCCTTTTTTAGTAGAAAAGTTGCAGAGTGAAAGGCTAACTGGCCTTTATGATGTTGTAAAAGACTGGAATGGAACTCAGCATATCCAGGTGATGCACCACTTTGAGCAATATTCTCTATTGCTTGATCATATTGGAAAAGTAAATCACTAGTTTCAATTAAACTTTTTGATGATCCATTGGGTATTTCTGCAAGACTTAAGAGGCAGATTCTCTCTTTAACAGTTAATAAAAGTAATTGATACAGCCAACTTTTGGTATCATGAGAACTATGATTGAGGACTTTGGACACAACTTCATACCAATCGTAATTATGAGAGAAGAATTTGTTTTCGAATTCTACTTTACAACTGTGTTCAAGGGCTTCTTTTATTTTATTGCTGTTTAAATAATGTTTGAGTAAACGAGCATGAAGTAATGGATCCCTTGGTCTTACCAATAGTTCTGCATTAAGTAATTTAACAAGAGCCTCTGGATCAGGATTAGCAATATTCAAAAGTCTTTCTCTAAGTTGAAAAGTTACTTGATGTCTAGGAAAAATAGCTTCTGCTTTCTCACACCAATATCTTGCACGTCCTGGATCAATGTCTATTTCATCATCAGCCAGTAGCTCACAGACTAAAACAAAGAAAATCATTTATTATTCAAGCTGAAATAGAGTATGTTCCTTACCGAAAAAAAAATTATTGCAATTTTATGTGCTAATTTACCACATGCTTGGCAGTAGGAAATACTTAGAGGTAACATGTAATTTTAAGAAATGATCACTATAACAAACCCACATGAAGTTAACTAAAGCTGCATGTGCAGACTTTCCTTGTTTGTATTCCTCTCAAAAATGTGAGTAGGCCTGTGCTCAACAATTGAACAAACTATAGGACAAGTTTATAATTTAATATTGAACTTTAATTTTTAATAAATTTCTTTTAGCTTAAAATATACCTATTTTTATAGAATGTAAACTTCTAACAGAAGTACTCACTATCTAGAGAATTGATGGAAGAAATGAACTTGATACTTAGCTGCGTGAAGTGGCCTTACCAAGCGAGTTTATTGAAATATTTAAATACTGGTATGGCCTTCAAATAAATCAGGTCAGATGGACAGAGGCACTGTCCAACGAGTACAGGTTAGAGTGCGGGGTGAGACAGGGTGGCCTAACTTCACCAGTGCTCTTCAACTTGTACAATAACCAGTTAATCGTTGAGCTTAGCAACGCTGGTGTCGGCTGCTCAATAGATGAGCATTTCGTTAATAGCATAAGCTATGCAGACGACATGGTGTTGCTGAGCCCATCGATTAATGCACTGAAGACATTACTTAATATTTGTGATACTTATGCTGAGACTCACGGTCTCATTTATAATGTAAAAAAAGTGAAGTGTTGTTATTTCGAGCTGGATCAAAAATTGAAACAATTCCACCTGTTAAATTAAGGAATGTACAGTTAAATAGAGTGTATCAATTTAGGTATCTTGGTCATGTTTTAACTGAGGATCTGACTGATCATGCGGACATAGAAAGAGAAAGAAGGGCATTGGCGGTTCGCTGTAACATGCTGTCCCGTAGCTTTGCACGCTGTACAGAAGAAGTTAAGGTAACACTTTTCAAAGCCTTTTGCCAGTCATTTACACGTGCAGTCTATGGATTAAGTACACGCAGAGATCCTACAATGCCCTTAGGGTACAATATAATAATGCCTTCAGGATGCTGATGGGGTTTCCATGGTATTGTAGCGCTTCAGGGATGTTTACAGCGTACGGTACGGACAGTTTTCATGCCATAATTCGAAAGAGAACATCATCCCTCATGCGCAGGGTTCGTGGGAGCTCTAATAGCATTCTGAGGGCAATATCTAATAGATTTGATTGTCCCATCCTAGGGCACTGATTGCGTATGCACTTGCATGTGCCTGGTGTCATGGGGTGCCAACAATAAAAAAAATAATTGTTATGAAAATTGTATGTGTAATAATTTAAGACTAACATAGGTTAAGCTAATTTACTAATATATTATGGACTATAGGGGGAAGTCCCCTAAGCCCGGACGGCTCCTAAAGACGGACAGAATCTGAATCAGTGCGAAAAAGCGCGCCAATTTGTTGCTTGAGTCGTGGTTAGAAAGCATTTCCCAAGTGAAGTGTGGGGGCAGCGTGTCAATAGTTAGTGCTGACTCGTTCGACGTGGAGCGTGTAGCAAATTTTAAGGTAAGTAAAAATTTTGTTTGAAGTAATTTTTTGGGTTCTGTAAACAGTATTTAAAGTATGGGATGATAATCATTGTTATTAATTATTATTGCTATTGTACTAATCTGATATAATCCAGGTGTTTTTTTAAGATTCATAACACATAATGTGAATGAGAATTTTTCTTGTATGTACCTAAAGGTCCCTAAGTTCGGACACTCTCAAAGTCCCCTAATACCGGACAGTTATACAGTAAGTTTATTTTTGTTGTAGTTATTATTTTTGTGTTTTGTTTTTCAGATTCAACATGGACAAACTCAAACCGAGTTGTGGGAATACCCCCAAACATGAAACATTGAAAAAAGCTCAGTTAGCTACATTTGTGATTTTTGCAGGTTGTACAATCAAAGTTTTGTAATTTTTTAGAAACCGTTCCTAATTATGACCAAAGTTAATTACAATTAAGAATAGTTTTCTTTATAAACAGCTGATTTGATCAATTTTAATAATTATTCTTACGAATTGTTTGTTAAAATAATGTTTAGGTTTAAAATTGAACGAAAAGTTGGCTGTCCGTCATTAGGGGACCTTTTTAAAAACATCCTTTTTTTCTATGTTAAATGTTCCTTAGTACCTACTACATTTAAAGTAAGATTTGAGGCTGTTGATATATCTGTGTTGATTAAGTATATAGTTGTGAACTTATTAAAGTGAAATAAACAAATGAGACTATTACACATTCTTTTTTATTTTTATTGTTCCTTAGTGTCCAGTTCTCGGGGACCTCCCCCTATGTGGGTCTGAAATAAATTTGTTATTATATTATTATTAGTAGTAGAAAGAGAAAGGAGGTGGAGAAAATGTTAATTTGCACTTTATAAAGTTTGGACACTCAGATGATGATCATCATCATTATCATTACAGCACATCATAAGTTCACAGCTGGACACAGGCCTCTCTTTCATTTCTTCGACATCCTGCATCTCTAACTAGGTCATCACTTCATCTAGTTGGGGTTTGCCCTACATTTTGTTTGCTGGTACAAAGGCTGCCAATTGAGAATTTCTCATTTGGTATTGGTTATTTGAGATATATGGCAGGCTCATTGCCACTTCAGCATAGTGATCCATTGGGCTATTTTGGTTACTTTGGTTCTCTTGTGGATATTCTTATTACAAAGTCTTTCATACAGAGAAACTCTTAGCATAGCACTCTACAGCAAGCAACCTTGAGCTTTCTTATACAACCAGCAGTGAAGAACCTGTTCATGGATTCACATTATGTCATCACTGGCAACATGCACTAGTTGTACACTCTTATTTTCAAGTTTTAAGGCATATGTAATAAGATGAGTTGAAAGCTGCCCAACCAGTTTGGATTTGTCAATTGTACTATCAGATAATATTATAGTGATATTCTACATATATTGTAAATATGATTTTAAAAATTAATATCTCTATAACAACATTTCTACAATATAATTGAGAATGAATATAGAAAACCTAACAATTATTTTATATTATTACAAATTAAAATCTGTTTAACAAACGAAATAAAATATTTAGCTATTTAAATAAAATATTATGCATAAAAGAGGAGGCTGACAATTTGGCAAAAAAATGAATGTATATAGATGAACCAAATGTATGCAGATGTTAGGGAAAAAGACTGCTCTTCTTAGCCGCACATATACCTACTCTCGGGTATGCTTAGTTAGGCAGTAAATCAACCGCCAACTTATGTCGGTGTGGCTTTTACCAATCAATATTAGCTCAGTAGTGTAAAAATGTAGAACAAGAACAGCTTTTGTTCTTATTGCTGGCTCTTTTTTCTGCAACTCTATATTTCTCTATATTTAAGTATTTAACTTGTTTATACTACAAAAGCATGATAGATTGCTTTATAGAGTAGACATGTGTCAATCATTCATTTCTAGTGACCAAATCATTCTAGTACATTTGTCACGCATACAGGTACATTCAGATCGATCATTCAGATGGATCATTTCGGGTTCCAGTACTATGTGAGTCTATGAGATCCATTGGGAACCGAAAATTTTCTATTTGAGATTTGTTATAGCACCATCTACTACATGCTATAGGTAATAGTCATTTTATCAAACTGAAATTTATTGACTTTCAAGGTGGTAAGAACAATCGTTGCTAGATGGCATAAACTCAAAAACCTCAAGTGACTCCATTGATTTGATTTTGATTGAGAACTTTATTCAATATTATTATATATTTCAAATATTTTATAAATTTGTTTCTTCTTACATTTCATTACTAACAATACACAATTTCATCTTACTACAAAATTATACTTTTATCTTATATAAGGTGGTTGAAAATTATCATATTATATAAATCATTTGCCATAAAATCTTTTGAAGTGTTATTTTTAGCAAACCCAACAAAATGATATTTTTAACTCATAGATGTAATAAATAAATATAGTAAAATGTAAAATAATTTTTAATTTAGGTAACTATATTATAATAAAAAACCCTTAGATAATAAATACTCCTGATACTCTGCAGTCTGCATTGTTCATTCGATTCGCCTGTTCATTCGGATCATTTGGGATTCGGTCAGTTTTCGGCTCATTCACAATTCACACCATCATGATTTAAAAAGGTTCCATATAGCCTATAGCCTAAGTTCACTCTAAGCCCTTTATTGATTAAATTAAGAATCAATAGTGTCTATCTCAACTTGGTGTTATTTTAAACATTTCTTGTAAAACTCGGAATAAAAAATAAATATGATAATCTTTTTTGGTATTACCAACTTTAAGCTTTATTTTTAATTTGAGCAATTAACATAAAACATTTACCAAATATCTTTCTATTCAAAGCAGGAAAATGTTTTCTTTTTATCTCCTTTAACTTTTACCTTTTAACTAACTTAACTTTTTTAGACTATTGATTCTTAACCATCAATATCTTCAAAAAATTGAATGAGTTGCTTAGCTGTGAGTTGTACTTGTTCCGATCTAATTACATAGTTTCCCAATTGAATGTTATGTTTTCACACTAAGGATCTGCAATCAGTTAGGCTGTGCAGAGGTATTCCTTCCATTGTGTAACAGAATCAGTCCTTTCTTGAGTTGTTTAGTCCTAAGATAGCTTTGGGATTAATTACTTACGTAAGAACAAACTGGAATTAATTCCAGGGCTTCTGAAGCAAATATACAATCAAATGCCCTTATTAAGGTTTTGAAATGTTTTAAGCCTGGTGTACCAGACCAAAATATTATTGTGATAGTTTCAAGGTCAATTGAATTTTGAAATTCCACTAAATGGCTCGGCTTCAATATCGTGCACTCTCTGAACCCTCTCATACAAGCTTGTCGGCTTTTTATTGCCTACAATACCTGCATGACATGATAATCAACACGCTCAGCTTTGGAAAAATCTAGTAGACTGTAGACAAGCTAGGGAGGCCCTACCTGTAATAAACAGTCGCTTAACCAAAGTTTTAATGAGACTGAACATGCCGCAGATCAGGATAGTAACAAGTGCTATCACAGGAAAACGGCACCTTTAACAAACATTTATTTACTATAGGTGTTACAGATAGTCCCCAGTGCAGGGCATGTATGGGTGAGGAAGAAACGGCGGCCCACATGCTACTGAAATGTCCGGAGGTCGCTATGTACAGGGCTAAACATCTCGGCACGCCGGGATCACTCCCCGAAGTTGCATGCAACATCAAGGGACTGTTAAGCTTCTTCGGGGAGATCTCATGGCTCGAATAATCACATTATTCCTGCCCACACGCAAAATAAGCGCATAGACGTGGAGTTGCGGAAAACAGCCCATCGCAAACTAAACTAAACTACCTGCATGACCCGGTACTCGTCTTAGAACAACCCTGTTGTAACACACCACAGCATTTAAACTGTTCACGTAGTCTCTCACTTGCTCTGCGAAGAGTTTGATCACCGAGATAGGAATGCTGTTTAACTATCAGAATTCATATACATAATATTATATTTAACACACTAATTTTGCAGATACACCATACTGTGGCATAAATTTCTGCCTGGAAGATAGATGTGAATTTTCTTTCTTTTTCTTGCTTTCCCCGCAATTCCAAAGTTTATGACAGAGTTCATTTTTGAACCAACATTAAACCATATAAGGCTGCTGACCTCACAGATGACCTATCGATTCAGCCAGTCAATATAGAACAATCTTATAGTTGTGACACAATTTCCTTAGGTGAGAGTTCCACATTAGTTTTTGGCCAATTGTTACACCCAAATGTTTAACTTCAGATGAGAATGGTAGTAATAGGATAATTTTACCAACCATCTTTTTTTGGTAAATGGTGGTATAACAGTTTTATTAGCATTATAACTGATAAAGCATTATACCTACATCAGTTATTTATGGTGTTTAGGGTTTTTTTTTTTGTATATTTGATGTTGTATTCTCAGGTAAAAAGAATACTTTGATTATGATTGCATATTTTAAATATAATGTAATTTCATCTAACAATTTGAAAATTTAATATGTACACTCATAAGAATATTTATTAGACTAATAACAAATAAATGTTAACTAGTTTTTTAGACCTATTGAAATTTGTATTTTTGTTCCTAAATAACTTAAAAAATCCAATTTGAGATAAACTAACAATTTATGAGGTAAAACTACTTTAGACTTGAGGGAAGCCTAAATCTCTTCCTAAGGTGGAATTAACATTTAGTAACAATACTAAGGGCCATACTGAAGAAAAAAATGTTTAGTAAAATCTAGTATGTTTACACAATTTCCATATTTATCAAAAAATCAACTGAATATAAATAGTAATTAGAGTAACTTATGTATTTTGCATTATATTTAAAATTAATTTTTATAATATAATTTAAAATGAAGCTAACAATTTTTTTTTCATTTGTTCATTCATTTCATTTCATTTGATCATTACAGCCCATCACAATTCCACCTAAGAATATATATAGTTCCTCTCCATAGATACTCATATTTGCCACAATTGTTATGATAAACAGATAGGTTAGAATGGCAGCCGCAGTTTTTTTATTATTATTTAGTAGTTATTGAGATGTTGCTACCCATCTCCTGATTCAGCAATCCTCTTTGCCTCTTACGACAGTTGCAGTTGAATTGATAAGTTTTATTTAAGCCGCCTGTTAAGGTTAAACACACTTAAAGATCTCATTAACTTTTAGCACAAAAAGCTACATATCTTATACTTACTATCTAGGACGATGCTCGTTTGTGTAGAATCTTTATCAAGTGAGGTTTTAAATTCCTCAAGAGCTTTTTCTTTTTGGCCTTGTTTATGATAAGCCTGTCCAAGTAGTTTATGCGCGGCGGCATTATCTTTGTAGGTAAGGTACTGCTCGACGTATTTTTGACAACTTGCATAGTCCCCGACTTCGAAATACAACCGGGCGACAGAATATGCACGGGTTTTAAACTGAAACAAAATAATCATTTCATTTCCGTTCAACAATACATAATTCACGTGAAACCTTAGCTATTTTCTACTTACCTCTTTTAAAGACAATTTAGATATTAAGCTTTCCACGTGTTTATCAACGTCTTTTTTATTTCTATACATTTTCACACACTTGTCACCACACGATTTCTGAGTTAGAAGTATTTTTTTTAAAGCAAATCAAAAGCGCGGAGATTAAAATGACAAATTATAATACACTTCGCCTTCGTCATTATTCTAAAATGGGTTCTTTCTACTATATATTTTCACTCAGTTCAACTTCACACTTCACAGGCAGGGTTGCCGTTCTACAAATTTTAAAGTCCCTAGACGTAGCGTATAGAACAGACACCCCGAACCGTAGACAGAGAAACCTATAGACTAATGATCGGTGTGGCCTCGAGTGAATTAGTAATTTATTACCATGGCAATATATTCGTATTCATATCCTCCGAATAGTACGTTTGGTATTCGTATTCGTATTCGTAAAAGTATTATTCGTTGCATCACTAGTTTTAGTCAATGTTTAAATTCTTCATTATTCTCCCACTCACTTCTGTAATGCTGGGTGTTGTGCTTCTTTTTCAAAGGCACTTCCTTACTGCCTAATCTTGAAAAGTAATATTTTTTCACGCCGAATATTCACACACAACAGTCACAAAATATGAATTCTAAAGAAATGATCCTGCTGAATGAAACATTGGTAATGTGAACAGTATTTTTATCTCACTCATTGGTGGAAGTAATAAAAGAAACAGATGACAAGTAAACGAACGACATTGAATTGTTAGTCTTTGTTTGGGAATTCCCGTGAAATCATATTACGTATGCAGTGCTACCAGCGGTAGATTACAAAATAGGACATACGATAAAAGTAAATAATTTAATTTATAAAAAAAGTTGGCATCTCAAAAATCCAAACATCGCTAGAAGTCGTTAAATAATTATTTCTCGCTAAAACGATTATTTTATCCGTTAAACATTGTTAAAATCTGCTAGATCTAACGAGGAAGTCGCTAAAACGGCAACACTGTTCACAGGCAATATACATGAATCTTTTGACAAGGGGCTGTCAGCAATGTATTTTTTGTCATAAACTCATAAAATATAACATCAAAGTAATCAGAATTAATTTATGTACCTGTAATTATTATGGAAAAACATGTTTTCCGTAACAATTTAATTTACTAAAAATTAATTGTAATTTACTTATGATACATAATTTATGAGGAGTTTAATTCTGTATCTTAAAAAACATACAAATTTAAATCCTGGATGTATTTAGTGTTTAATCTGTGCTTGCACGCCGAAAAGATAGCTTTCTACTAAGAGTACCTAGGCGATACAAATCATATATAGGTACAATATCTATATATCGGTACAATGGCTGGACAGACTAAACGATGTATTAGATACTGCTGCACTACAGCTCAGTCGCCTTACAGAAAATTAACATTAAAGATCAAACTTCAATAAATAACAATAATAAAATAAAAGTATTATAACAGTCCCTTAATTATAACGTTAAATATCCACTAAGATATTTTACACCGATTTGAATTTTAAATAAACTATGAGCGTGCGGAAGAATGTGAAATATTTTATTGGGGTAAAACAGATACAGATACCTCCTTTTGTTGTTTGACATTTTCGTTTCAGAGTATCTTATACATATATTAACCAATACATATTATGAAGGCAAATCGTTCCAAAGTCGCGTATTACCAAATAATAGTTAATATTGACCGATCGTATTTATGTATCAACCTATACGTGAATACGATACTGATATAGTGTTAGAGTGGTATATTACGCATGAATATTTTTTGCTGTGTAGTAAAAACCAAAAGAATAAAAACTATGAATGTAAATTTTATCAGAGCCATGCTGCAGTTATATTGGTAGTATAGTTGTAGCACGAATGAGGTCGGCTCGACCGGGGAAGGACCACGCTCTCACAGAATACCAGCATCAAATAGTAGCTTAATGCTGCTGTGTTTCATATGGTGAGTGTAGAGAACCGGAGACCCTTTTTACTGGAAACGAGGCATTCCATCTTAGTCCTCATGGATGACAACGCATCTGCATTTTGATTTGTAATGGAGGATAGATGTAGATGTCTATGGGCCATAGCAACCACTTACCATCAGGTGGATGTTGCTCGTTTGTCACCCTATCCTTTAAAAAAAACAAAAGGCATTTAATTAAAACCATACACCTAACAATAAATAACGATTAGGATTTATATAACCAAGTTAAATATTTAAGTCTTTTGCTATATATAAATTAAATATTTACCAGTTTTGGGGGGAATATTTCTATTATTGCAACTATCTATGGACGGATACGTTGGCACACAGTTCGTTAATTTTCAAATGTCAGTTTCATGAGTTTTTTTTTTCAATTTATAGTGGCATTGACTATAAGGCCTTCAGCCAACGTCACGGAGATTTGCTATCATTTGCTATTGACTTCGTTAAATCGTCGTGTACCTGATGTATGTGGTCTCAGAGTAGTCACTAACATAGAAAGAGTCCTAAAATAAGAACAAAGTTCTTATAGTTGAAGTCTTTATACAAATGACATTTAACATACCTCAAAATAAGATAGCTTTATTATTCTCACCTTCCTTCCTTTACAAGGTGGTTGCCGTTTTTTCATTCCATAGACACCTCTATTGATGTACAATTAGCGAAATAAAAAACGTTGTCCATAAAATAAATTCATTTAGTCTATGACTTCGTAAAATTAAGAGTTTTTATCAATCCGGTTCGTAATTATTATTTATATCCACGAAATTTTATGGAAGCTCCTACTGATATCTTATAACAAAAACGTAGTCGAATAATGTGGAATTTCGTACTATCTTTGTGTAATTTAAAATATATTATGAAAAGTTCACTATGAAATCTATTTAAATTCAGCCGGTATATTTCCGCCATACTATGCTTAGACTCGGTATGAGTTTCATAGGAAATAATAACTGTGTTTATTTAATCGACACTGGGTTCATGTCACGGAACGTACGTCATGGGCACTGCTACGATAGTTTTATTTTATTTTTTATTGAATAAGGGTGCCAAACGAGCACAAAGGTCACCTGATGGTAAGTGGATACTATGGTCCATAGACATTTATACTTATCCTCGATTGAGAATCAAAATGCAGATGCGTTGTCACTCCTGAGGACTGAGGTGGAACGCTTCGTTTTCGGTAAAAAGGGTCACCAGTTCTCTATACTCACCATACGAAACACTGCAGCTTAAGTTGCTATATTACGCTGGTATTCTGTGAGAGCGTGGTCCTACCCCGGTCGAGCCGACCCATTCGTGCTACAACTATTATGGCTGCAGTGGTGCTCCACCACGTAAAGTATTATAATGATATAACAGTAGCACGATCGCTATCTGTCTTTTCTTTTGACGCTTTATCACAACAACCAATAAATCGATTACGAACGTATTACTCGTTTTTCTATCTACTCCCTCAAGATATTATCGATCAATCATTCATTTTATTTTAATGAACACCGTATTTATACAATAAAACGTCTAAAGCTGAACGTAGGGGGAACATTTGCCATAGTTCCCCAACTCACAGCAAGTGGTTTGGCAACCGCACCCTTTTATTATTTTGAGTTGTTATCAGAAAGACACTGTTACTTTTCTCCTGTTTTATTTCTCTCTGATGTCTTTTCTGATACCCACGGGATAGTGTGAGATCTTTGATATATATATATATATATATATATATATATATATATATATATATATATATATATATATATATATATATATATATATATTATTTGGTTAGAGGTAGAGAACTCTTTTTTGCGCCGCTAAACAGCATTATCGACATCCTACTTTAACTTCGTCATTTAGAAATATTTTCGTCCAAACAGATTTAAAAAAAAACTTTGTTGAATATAGTAGTTGGATTTATTTTCCGCTTAGCAAGTGGTAAATCCATATAAAAAATCAATTACCGCATGTATGAATGATCATCACTTAAAAAAGGCTGGACAGATTTCGATGTACCCTCCCTCACACTTACCATTGGACCCGGTAAGTAATTGAAGTTAAGGTAAGGCATTATTGTCGAGATTTAGAAAACAGTCGTGCCAAGCTGTGGCAGAACGTTAGACAGCATATAAAATTGGAATTATAAATAGGATCCAATTTGCTCATGTACCGTGTGTCTGCCAAGACTTAGTTTTGATATCTCCCTTATAATTTTTTAAAGTTTGCGAAACGAATACTTGATATGTAATATAAAAATTATCGTCAGTTGACTTAGAAAACAATTCACTTGATTGTTCAAATAATAATAAGTCTAGTCCTATTTTTTTTAAATATTTTTAGATATAAAAAGTAATAAAAATAACTAACTGAACAAAAACGAGTATATCGATGTCGATTGTTGCTGACATTGGGAATGAAATTGCTATAGATTGAAGACGAAAAGTCTTGTAAAGTAACGTCACACACGAAATACTACTACAATAGGAATGTCATTTTCCTAGTAAATCAGAACATACTAATGTACTTATTCTCATATTTGGCATAGTATAAAGAGACCAAAGATGACCACTCGACATTTCTGTTTCCACGCATGAATTACATGCAACATCTTTCAATAGATTTGTCTATTTTTGTCTTACTTTAAAATTTAATTAGAAAAAGCGAGACAAGTATGTTGACTCAATTTAATTAGAATTGTAGGTTCTCTCTATGCATACGTATGTATGTAATTACTCTAAGTATGTGGTCATGACCATAGACTTAGAATATACTGGTGGTCATGACGTCTTCAACTTAAGCACAGTATCCAATTCCCCAACTACGGAAATACCCTAAAAGGAAAAATTTTGTAAAAAACTCAGATTAAAAAATAATATAGTACACAAAAATGGTGTTTACTTTGTCAACGTTTGTTATATTTATTAGTTTTGGGTTTTTTAGTTTTAACACTTAACCACCTATCCTATATTTTCGTGACACAACAACCCACCCTTCTTCCGACAGACCACTATCAAATGATTGACCTTATTTTAAGTTGATAAGTACATAAAATATGTAATCGAAATGCAGATTTTGGATTTTTACTATTAAATTATGTCA